TTTTAAAGTATTGCAATTGTGATGTATTTTAATGTGTGATATGATGAGGCTGTTGACGAACTGTGGTTGTTTTTTAAATTAATGACAATTTTTTTAAACTATCTGTTATTTTAGAAAAACTGATGATGGTGGAAAATTACACCGAAACGTATTTTGATTGATAGAGACAATAAATGACTAAAACCCAGGAATGAATTTGACTATAGACAATGTTTGGTCTCTAAAATTCGACAGTATATTATTACGAACAAAATTCAGTTGAAATAGATTTTATTGAAAGACTGGGGCAAAATTGAGAGTTCATACAAAAAGGAATATTTTCCTGTCCAAACGTCTGGGTTAGAACATAACATTGATGTTCTAATTGTTCTTAATTAACAAAATGTAATAAATTGCAGAATATTTTTGTATTGCAAGAATTAAGTTCCTACCATCAATCAAATTCAAGTAAAGTGTACTTTATAGAAACGATTTATTTATGTTTTTTACCCAAGGAGGCAGAATTTCTGCAACTGCAAACTATTGAAGTCTTAAGATGTGAGGTTAACTCACATCTTAAGCATCTTAATAAAAGCGGCTAAACACTTACATGTTTTGAACTATACTTTGAGATGACGAAAACCCGGTGGACGACATGCTCACTGCACTGAAACCAAGAAAAACAAACGATTAGAGCACTCGAAAACCAATCAATTAATAGGTTTAATGTAAACAAAAAAATAATGTAAAAAATCGATTTTATTCCTCAGTAGCTTACCTAAAAACGATTTGAACTGTAACAAACAATTAAACACTACTAACGTAAGAACGACTGGAGCACTTTTGCTATCAATTTTGATCAAGCTTTTCTAGTTATTTGATTAAAAAGTAGTTGGGCTTTTACAAACAAATTAAATTGAATGCCGACATAACCAATTGGAAACTCGAAAATTTGTGCACATAACCGCAATATATCGATAGAACGGCAAGTGCGAGGCTGTTGTCGTTCGTTCTATCGAATGCAGCGCCACTGATGTCCTTAGTTGCCGAGTTGGGTGCTCATCTACTTTCTTGAGTCTGTCGGAGTTTCGGGGTCTTTTTAATTTTCGTTTATAGTAATTTCAGATCGGTCATAAAATGATGATAGCAAACATTTAAAAAATTTAATAAAATATTTATATTGACGCTAAACTTTGTGCAGCGTTGCCAGACTGCATAGAACGTTATTTGTAAATGGCATAGTATACTTCGTGTAAGTATTGTATGCTTAAATTTCAAGATGCGTTGAATTTGTTTCATTGCTCATTGCTCGGGATATGTTCATTGCTCATCTTCAGCTCATATTTTTATTTGTCACGGAAACAGCGATAAATAATTCTGGGAGAGAAAGTTGAATTATAACCCAGCTACCTAATCCAATACTAAAGCAAAATAAACTCAACCAAAAAGTTTTCTTAGTATATGCCATTTACTCTAAGAAAATCCCTTCTCACGAAGTGCAAATATAAACAGTTATACCTGGGTAAAATAAGTGGCAACATTGCACTCACGTCAATTTTTCAATCTCCAGGGGCGTTATATTCAACAAGAGCTTAAAGGCCCATTTATAAACTTGATAGGCCCATTCAATGAAGGCGTAAATAGTAAATAGAGCAATCGTGCGGTGTGACGTTTGACGTTGATATTGACTTTTGTGACTCGGAGACAGATGACAGTTGCCTGACTGTCGCTATAAGCCTTTATG